GTTCAAACTGCCCTCCAACACGGAGGCCCCCTTCGGCACTATCGCCTCCAACCTCTCCCGCCCAAAGAACTCCTGATTGATTTGTTCCTGGGGGGTGGAGGCAGAAGCGTGCCCTTCGTCAACAATCACCACCACATCGGTGATCGGTTGTTTGGTAGGGGCGGCGGTCTTCGGCTTCTTGGCCGGGGGATCGGCCCCCTTTCCAGCAACCTTCTTTTTTACGGGCCCGGAACCCTTGGACCCTCCGGCGCCAGCAGCAGCGCCAACAGTTTGAGAGGGCCCCTCCCTAGAAGGAGCGCCCGCCGGGGCCTTCTTCTTTCCTTTCGCGTTTTTTAAAGCGAAGAGGGAACCAACGTCCATATTGCTACCTGCAAGCAACAAAAAAAAACAGAAGGGTTAAATCGAAGGCTACCAGTCACTACGTCATAAAAAAAAACAGGCGGAATGCGAAAGAACTATCAACGCATCAGTGAACATTTCGGTGATCACCTCCGGCGCCTTCGAAGACCCGATCGAGGGGAGGGTATCTCTCATCCGAGGAGCCCCTCGGCCTGAACTGCCGGAAGCCTAGGTTAAGCAGATCCTCCGGAAGGGTGACTTCTCTGATCTTGACATGCTTGTCAGACCCCTCCGGCTTCTTGGCAAGCACTTTGCCGTTCTTCTCCAAAGCTGCGCTCCCCACCTTCGGGTGGCGCCGGAAGCTATTACGGAGTTGGCCCGGGAAGGGATTCTCCTCGAGGCGGATATAACAGAACCTCTCCTTCCACCCCTTGTGAGACGAGGGCACATCATCGAAAAGCCGGAACTCCGGTACATGCTGAAGGTTGGCAAAGCCCTCAGCATTTGAATGTCCCCCCCGACACAGGTTGAAGGACATGAAGAATTGGTCGAGTGTGGGCTCGACCCCCCGGCTCTGACACAAGGAAAGGAATCCGGCCACATAGGAGTGGCTGTTGGGCGTTAGCTGGCAAGGGGCCAACCCCACAAATCTCAGGTACTCCAAGAGGAAAGGATGGAGCGGGAACCGGAGCCCCATTTCCACCGAGAGGGTGTGAGCAGCAAAGCACCCCTCGGGCGCGTATCGCAGCAAATCATCCGCCCTGGGCTCCACCACGCGCGCTGAAGGCCCAACCAGCAACTGGGTGGACTGGTATTCTGCCGGGGACGCCTTCGTCTTCAGCTCTAGAGCACCAGTGTTCAAGAACGAATGGCCCTCGGGTATGCCCACCGGCCGCCCGGCATCCACTGCCGCTTGCTTCTTCCTCGGGGCCGCCTTCGTCTTGTTTTTCTTCCCGGGAGCCACACTTATTGGTGTCGGGTCCAATGGCCGGGAGGAGCTGGCTTCCCCGGAACCCCGGGGGGGGAGGAATGGCAACCGTCACCTTCAGCCGCTCCCTCTCCTCTTCCTGCTCGGCGGTTTGCACGGCAAGGGCAAGCTCCTCATCCTCGTTCTCTTGCTCGAAGCCCTCGGCTTCGACTTCGGCCTGGAGGTCCTTCTCCACTTCCATAGCCACTGCGGCATCACCGGCTGCCGAGGACTCCACACTCGAAGACTCCACATCTGAGCATGTCACCATCTCTACCGAAGGCTTCCCCGAAATATCCTGGGAATCACTCTGGGACGACATGCTGACTCTGGTTCGAAGGCTCGCGGACACTAGTGTTTTCTAAATTTTCTATCTCCTAACCTAAGGGCACAGTACAGGTAGCTAAGAGGCTGAAGGACAAGGGGAGAACTGACCTTAAGAACGGAGGATTCAACCGAGGGCTGCTGTTTCTCTCTCTAGAAAAATTGGCAGAGCTTCGCTAACAAGTTTTTCGCACACAGAGGAATGCCTGGCCTTGGGGTATTTATAGGCGCTGGAATCCGGGCTTGGGCCTGGGTTCCGGGCCTCCGGATGGACGCCATCATTACTCACCGCGTCTTCGCCCAACCGGTGACGCCGCCCACGTACAGCCAGCCATCACACGCCACGTGTGCCCCCCCCAACGGCTATATCCCGTCGTTACATATTCCAACGGCTATATTTCCAACGACTATATTTTGGAAGCCCCCGGGTTTTCTACTTCACTCCACTTCATCAAAGATAGCCTCCGGGTGCACTCACCCAGCAGTGTCCCCGGGTTGTGCCCCACACAGTACATTACACACGCCTTCGGGATCACCCCTTCAGATCCCTAGGGCTGCATATCAGGGCACCCCTCGGGGTTTCCCCTCAGCACTGCAAAACCGGGTAGCCCCCGGGGAGTGCCCCATTGACGGATGGTCCATGGCACACAGGTAATGGGAGCCCTCGGGTATCTTCATCACCAACTCATCAACAGACAGTGGACCCCCCCGGTAACAACTTCACTGCTGCCCTCATCTGGCAGGCCCTCGATCCCTGGATTGAGGGGCTCCCCTTCGGCACCACCAGGACAGCAACAGCAAGCCTTCGGCTAATCAACACAGGAGCCCTCAGAGGAGAGAGCCTTCAGCATTCCCGTCATTCCCCACTTTGTACCAAGGTTTGACATTTTCGATTCATCATTGGGGGAATTCGGTGCACTCTTTTTCCCTCATTAGGATTTTTTCCCAAAGGGTTTTTCCTAATGAGGTTTTTAACGAGGCATCCCCCCGAAATGAAACGAAAAGTGTCAGCCTTCGGCCCACAACGGCTACGTAACTACTTTACTCCTTTCCACCACTTTACAAGTGCCTCAAGGAGTGGGGGACTGGAGGACCCCTTCGGGAAAATCATTAAATTACAAAACGCTCCAAATTCCAAAAAACAACAAAGCAAGCCCTCAAGTCCCGACATGTGGGTAACTGAGGGACTGCCTTCGGCAGGGACATAAAAGCAACAACTTCTCACCAACCTCAGAGATCACAACGGGACAACATCAAAGGGCAAGCACAAATTACTCCTTTTCCCTCAAGTACCTTTCGGCAAAAGGAGTGAGGGACTCCTGATGGAGTATATGGCCCGAGAACCCCCGGCCCACAGACTCCTACTACTCCAGCAAAAGGCCCAACGGGCCCAAAAGGTCCAACAGGCCCAAATCACAGCGCCCAGAATACCAAGCAGCCCGCACTACGCGCCAGGGGTGCCTTCGGCCCCCGGCCGAAGGCTCTAAATTCTCACAGAACAGGTTTTTCAAGCAAACTAAGAAACTGGGGGAAAACGGCGAAAACAGTAGCCCTCGGTACTGTGAGCCCTCGGCACCAAGGTGCCCTCGGTTGAAGGAGCCTTCGGCTACTGCTCTATGGCCGAAGGCATCTCACTCGACAAGATATCCGCCTCACATACGTACAGATCACCGTACTCTGCACAGACGTCCCATCCAACAGCCGCATTAAATGCGGCCACATGCGGCTGCCAGCGCCAACCAGTTGAGGCGACCCCTCGGCCAATGAGCGCTTGACACGTGTCCCTGCCCGGCATTTATTGCCACTATAAATAGCCCCCCATTTCCCCATTTGTAGCCACGCTGAAAACGCTCCACATTTATAATACACTCTCTCTCTCTTACTTGTTTGCTCTGACTTCTCTCTAAGTTATTCCCCGTAATAACCCTTCGGATATATACCCCCGGGTAGACTATCCATCAAATCAATACTAGAAAGTACTAGTGCGTATAAAAGGAATAAATTCCACTTTTGGTCCTACGAGTTCTAGGTCAATTCCATATTTAGACCACATCTTTCACTTTGTGCACTTTTGATACATGACTATTGTGTTTTCGCCCACACATGGTCCTTCCGGCATTGTTTCCGATGGTTAAAGTCGTCGGAAAAGGACCACAAATGGTTAAAAAACATTAGTCAAGTATCAAAAGTGGACAAAGTGAAAGACGTGGACTAAAGGTGGAAATGACACAAAACTCGTAGGACCAAAAGTGGAATTAATTCGTATAAAAGAGTGGTATAACTTTTAATTTGTTAGGACATCTTACATTTATAATCCTTTATATAATTATATGCATGCATGTATGGATTAAAATTTAAATATATATCTATATATGTATATACTTGTTAAGACCCGGGGTTTCATCCTAAAAGGTGACTGGACAATATCGAGATGTATAAATGTGTCAAACAGACCCTTAACAAGATACCCTTAATCATGAGTGCTAAACAGTCAAACCACAACCGGACTTGACTCGGATACCATGTTAAGACCCGGGGTTTCATCCTAAAAAGTCAACTTGATAGGAGGAGTAATACAAAGTTTTATATAATGTTTTATTGTTTTATAACTTTCCTGTGTGGGACAAATACTTTTAACAATACCTTTATCTGCTGATCACTGTTGTTGTAATTAAAACTAAGTATGTGTTTTTTTCTCCTTGACTGTGTAAAAGGATTTGCTGAACGCAGTTCACATAATCAAAACCAAAAAGAGGAAATTCACTATTCTCAATGACGTCAGTGGGATCGTGAAGCCCAGCAGGTTAGTTGGACTGCACAAACCAGGCCAGCCCACTGTTATTAAACTAACTACCTGAATTGGGCTTATTAATTAAGAATCTTTTAATGTCACAACCAGGATGACGTTGCTGCTGGGGCCGCCGGGCTCCGGAAAGACAACGCTGCTGCTGGCAATGGCTGGAAAGCTCGATAAAGACCTGCGGGTGAGCGGGAAGGTGACGTACAATGGCCATGATCTAAACGAGTTCGTGCCACAGAGAACAGCTTCTTATATTAGCCAACATGATCTCCATATCGGCGAAATGACCGTTAGAGAAACATTGGAATTCTCTGCCAGGTGTCAGGGTGTTGGTTCCCGTTATGGTTCGTCTATCTTCCCCGCCTGCCTCAAACTGATGGGGTTTTGTTAGTTAATCACTTATCATACATTAATGCATTTTGAAAATATAACATTTTCTTAATCTATCCATCTCCAGAAATGTTAGCAGAGTTGTCTAGGAGAGAAAAGGCTGCTAACATCAAGCCAGATCCTGATTTGGATGTCTTCATGAAGGCAAGAATTTATACTTTTTACTAAAAGTATTTGCTACTTTTAATTTCATTTCAATGAAAAAGCCTTCTATTAATATGAATATATGATTACAAAACAAGTATCCCATAATCTCATCAAACAAACATCCTACGATTAGGCATCGACATACAATCGCCCGAATGAGCAACTCGAGTAGCTGACCACCTAACACACAAGCTTGCTTTAACTTTAGCAGTCCTCATGCTTCTAATTGTATGAAACCTCCACAAAACATACAGATCAAGAGTACTGCTATCCACAAAAAACACAAGCAAAACAAACAAAAACAATGTAACAATGGGTCAACACTAGCCAACCACTAAAAGCTCCGCACTGGTTTGCCTGAAACCGCACATTCAGTCTATGTAACTACTAACTGGCCAATATCAAGTTTTATTAGAAAAGCCTTTGATCAAACCCCAACAGCCACGCATGTCACAGTATCACAATATAACTAGAGCCTTCTGTCAGAAAAGCCTAACTCATCCAATAAGTATCACGAACATGTGCTAATTAATTTAGACGGTTAAACCACCGGCTAGAAATCCAGTCTGGCCTTGCTCACCACGCCCGCTTCCACCTTGTTTTTTACTTCACATTATCACACTCTAAACGGTCGTATACGACATTTCAACCGCTCCTCATCCATCACTAAGCACCTCCGTGGCTCTGTTTTTGCTCACTAGCAATCCTAAGATCTCTTCCTAGCCATCTCCTTCCACTGTAGTCCTCATTTGAGAACTTCCCACATGCCTTAGACCATAAAGCCATGGAGACTACAAAGCAATCAACTGAAAACTCAAAACATAATAATATGATTGCAAGCCAGTGGAAAACCAATGCCACAGAGATCATGAGTCATGAATGATTCAAGACGATGAAAAACAGGCAATGAAACTCCAGCACGATGAAAACTAACCTCAAAACTTTGATCGAAAAAGTTTTGGGACAAACTTCCCAGAGGAGTAATACCACACCCAGACGGCCAGACTCCAATATGACCAGTCTTCTCGCCGATCATAACAACAATCGGAGACAACTCCTTCACTAAAACCTGAACCCTAGGTAGACACAAAGCTACACCTACTCGAGGGAACAGACCTCTGTGTATAGATATTCAATATTATAGTAATGCTAAATCAACCCAATGTATAACACAACACAATAGGAATAAGTACTATAAACATATTGCCAGCACTAATACTGCCATATAATTTTAATAGAGAACTTTTCCAATCGATTAGCTTTGCTCTTTCTATTCTAGCTTCTGATCGATTAAATTGCAGGCAGCAGCAACAGAAGGGCAAGAAGCCAATGTTGTCACCGATTACATTCTCAAGGTAAGCATTTGGATGGATGAACAAGAGAACAGAAATAAAAGCTATTAATAATTTGTGCAGATCGATGAGGGAAACTGATAGAAAATAAAGAGACTAATGTAGTTTGATTTTATCTGTTTGCGATGGCTGGCAGATTCTGGGACTGGACATATGTGCAGATACGATGGTGGGAGACGAAATGCTGAGAGGGATATCCGGCGGACAGAAGAAGCGAGTGACGACCGGCGAAATGATCGTCGGGCCAGCAAAGGCTCTCTTCATGGACGAAATATCCACCGGACTGGACAGCTCCACAACCTATTCCATCGTGAACTCGCTCAAGCAATACGTCCACATTCTCAAGGGCACCACCGTCATTTCGCTGCTCCAGCCGGCCCCTGAGACCTATAACCTGTTCGACGATATCATCCTGTTGTCCGATGGCTACGTTGTTTACAACGGCCCTCGGGAAACTGTGATCGATTTCTTTGAATCCATGGGGTTCCAGTGCCCTGACAGGAAAGGCGTTGCTGATTTCTTGCAAGAGGTGAGTGAATTCTAATTCCACATATCTTTAAATCAACATAGACTATTATTGAACTATTTTAAATCATCCAATTTGCTTAAACTTTGTGTCAAAAAGATTGAGATTACTTTATGGAGTAATATTCATAAAGTAAATGCATTAAAAAAAATGCATTAAAAAAATGATCGGGGTCAATTAAATAAATGGTTGAAAAACACTTCCTCTTTTATGTATACTTTTGTGCAGTGTTTTTAGTTCATTAATATTTTGACATCTTTCAAACTTTGACCAATTATATAATTTTATTAAGGCTTAAAAATGTTTGTAATCTCTACAAATATGATACGCTTTGGTTTAGGTCCCTACAATTTTTTTTTGTAATATGTACTATTTTGTATGTAGTTTATCTCTAACGCCGTAATCACTCTAGTTGGACAAAAAGTCATTTTCAGTTACATAAATCTAATACAAATATTTAAATTTATCCTTCTATAGTTTTTTGAGACTAACATGAGAGTTCTAACAATTTAAAACTAATGATTAGCATTGTTATAATATGTACTAAAAATCTTCTAAAAAATAAAATTAAATACTTCTATAATAACATGACAAAGAATTAAAGGAATCCTATTAGTCAAGGTTATTTCTTTGTCAAACGGAGGTTGTTATCATAATTTATGATATAAAAGAAAATTAACATACATTTCGGGGATGAAAAACAAAACAAAAATTGCAGAGATATAAAATCAAATATACTACGTACTATATTTGCATTGATTAAAAGCATATAAAAATGATACAAAAATTATTTATTAAAATTATTTATAATATAAAAATGATACAATAATGTTTGTTGCTTAAAGTAGTTTCATTAAAGTATAAAATTTATAACTTCTATGATGTTATACTAATCAAAATTCAAAATCATGGTCCAAATTTTACGAGATGACAAAGATTTTTAAGGGACAGATGTAGTATTTAATTATTTACATTGATTTTTTGAGGTAAATGATCCATATTTTATAGGAAAAAACACTTAAGGTCTTATTTAAAGAATTATACTCCTCTATCCTTGAAACTTTCCAGTTTAATCTACACATATATTTACACAAGATAAAGTTGTCTTTTGTATTTTTAATTACTACTATTTTTATGTGAAATCAAATAAAAGATAAGGGCCAGTTGTGACATTTGTTGTTGAAAGTTTTCTTTTTATGGAAATGAGATGTTTATGAGATATTTATTTTGGACATCCAAATAAGGAGAGTGAGAGATTGTTTTTGGAAGGAGATAGTATTTTTTAGGGAGAATTTGAATTTGTACCCCATGTTTTGGGTAATATTTGACTTTGCATTCCATTTTTAAAATCAAATTATGAAGGAGTGGGGTGCAAAATCAAATGATTTTATAGGGAATTGGGATACATACATTAATGATTTTGAAAATGGTGTGCAAAGTCAAATATCACCCAAAACATGGGTTGCAAAGTCAAATTTTTCCTATTTTTTTTGTACTAAGGCACTTTTATGCAATTTTTCCATAATGGTATTGGGTTGAACCGTTCTACTGTTTTTGAGCCGTATACTGATGGTATTAATTAACAAGTGTTATACTTCATCTATACAAAAAAGTTTTTTTTTTTTATATAAAATGTGAATTTGATCATCTGTAGGTCACATCAAAAAAGGATCAACACCAATATTGGATGCTCAGAGATGAACCTTACAGGTTCATTACATCAAAGGAATTTGCAGAGGCATATCAATCCTTCAATGTTGGAAGGGAAGTGGCAGAGGAACTGTCAGTCCCATTTGACAAGAGCAAAAGCCATCCGGCCGCCTTGACGACTCAAATGTATGGCATAGGAAAGCGACAACTCCTAAAAGTATGCACACAGAGAGAGTTTTTGCTCATGAAGAGAAATTCATTCGCTTACAACTTCAAATTCTTCCAGGTATGTACATTGATCCTTTTAATCCTTTTAAGCCACATATCCATTGACATTTATTCCCATATAGATCCTTCATGTCTTTTTTGATTCAACCCAGCTGATGGTGATGGCTTTGATTACAATGACCATGTTTTTCCGTACTAAGATGAGCAAAGACAATGAGACTGATGGAGGGATATATAGTGGTGCCCTATTCTTTGGTGTGATTATGATTATGTTTAATGGCATGTCTGAGACTCCCATGACAATTTTCAAGTTACCTGTGTTCTACAAGCAGAGGGACCTCCTATTTTTTCCTCCCTGGGCATATGCTCTTCCTTCCTGGATTCTTAAAGTTCCCATTACGTTTATAGAAGTCAGTGTCTGGGTGTTTCTCACTTATTATGTCATTGGATTTGATCCTAAAGTCGGCAGGTATAACTTTCATAACTTAGTCTTGTTCGAGGCATTAAGTTGAGTCTACCTCACCCCAAACGAGGCTCAAGAGATACTAATGATCTGTTATAACTAGAAAGGTGGACAAATGAGCCAAACAAATCACACTTCATACTATTTTAAATTGAGTCTAACTCACCCAAAAAGACTCATCAACATATGAGAATTAATGTATATATAAGACACATATTTGGTAAGCACATGTATCACACATTACAACAATGGAAATAATTTTTGTTGATATTTAGCTACAGATTGTTCAAACAATTCTTGCTACTAGTGATGGTAAACCAGATGGCTTCAGCATTGTTCCGATTTATTTCATCCGTTGCTAGAACTATGGGAGTTGCAATGACATTTGGATCCTTTGCAGTTCTTCTCCAAGTTGCTCTAGGAGGTTTTATCCTTGCACGAGGTACATATCCATATGTTTCAGACATAGAGTACTTCCATGATATATTTGTCAATCATATTCTAATTAAGTATACTGACAAGTTCTTATGTTTCGTTGTTCTAGAGGATGTGAAGAAGTGGTGGATTTGGATGTACTGTTCTTCCCCATTAATGTATTCTCAGAATGCAATCCTTGTGAATGAATTTAAGGGGCACAGCTGGAGAAAAGTAAGTGATCTTGTATTCATGCACCTCATGACAATACAACTTCTTAGAGTAGCATCACAAAATAAAGTAGTGAGTGATGGACTAATAAGACTTTGTGTTGAGTTAGCTAAAAGATTAAATCCTAAAAGGAAAATTAAGAGTATTTAATAATAGCTTCTATGTGAGTTTACATCTTCATATTTAGCCGGTGTTTACACCTAAATTAGTTTAATTGCTAGTTAGAGCTTAATTAACTCTGATATCATAATAAATCGGGTCTAAATCAGCCCAAAAGATTCTTAAAAAGTGAGATTCACCTACTCATATACTCCCTCCGTTCCTAAAAATTCTTCCCGGTTTGACTTGGCACGCTTATTAAGAAAGTGGAATAAAGTGGAAATGTATGGTTGTGGTTGTGTAAGAAAAAGGTAAAATGAATGTGAGTCACACAAATTGTCCAAAATGGGAAAGTGGGAAGTATTTTTGGGAACAGCCCAAAAAGGAAAGTGAGAAGTATTTTTGGGAACGGAGGGAGTACTTGATTAGATATAGATCTAGTAAACATCTGATAAGAACACTTAATTACAATAATTTTATTGTATACAAGATATTAAGTAACTTTTCATTTCTACAGAATGCAACGTCTAGCACAGGAATACTTGGAGATGTTGTCATGGAATCCAGAGGATTTTTCGCTGAAGCAAAATGGTATTGGATTGGTCTGGGAGCACTTGTTGGATACACAATCATTTTCAACATATGTTACATGTTAGGGCTCCAGTATCTTAATCGTGGGTACCCAATTCATACAAGTCATTTTTCTTAAAAGTACTGTTCTTTAATTTTCAAATGCGAATAAACAATAATATTTGCAGCATATGGTAAACCTCAAGCCAATGTAGCCGAAGCTGATGAAAGCGGAGAGATGAGTACTCTAAACTCATCAAACTCTTTGGACCAAACCACTGCTAATGGAGTTACTGAGACTAAGAAAAGGGGAATGGTCCTTCCATTTGAACCATATTCGTTGACGTTTGACAATGTTGTATACTCTGTTGACATGCCACAGGTATTAAAAAATAGATATGTTTTTTGAAGTCATACTTTTTCTTTCTCATACAAGATTGTGCAAAGGTAATTGTTTTTAAAATGAAATCCAGGAAATGAAAGAGCAGGGTACTTCTGAGGATAAATTGGTATTGTTGAAGGGTGTAAGTGGAGCCTTTAGGCCTGGTGTTCTTACAGCTTTGATGGGTGTTAGTGGGGCTGGAAAAACAACCTTGATGGATGTGTTGGCAGGAAGAAAAACTGGTGGATATATAGAAGGTGACATGAAAATTTCTGGTTATAAAAAGAAACAAGAAACATTTTCCCGTATCTCAGGGTATTGTGAGCAGAATGACATCCACTCTCCTTTTGTTACTGTTTATGAGTCCCTGGTCTACTCAGCATGGCTACGTTTACCAGATAGCGTTGATTCTAAAACCAGAATGGTTAGTAACTAAGTTCTCATTATGAACTCCCTCTTTTAGCATAATAGATAAAAAATAATTTTGTTATCCATTTCATGTTAGGTTAACTGATAAGTAACTGAAGAATCCAAGAAGAAAGTAGTAGTTTATTAATGAACATTTAGTGAAGGAATACAGAAAGTCATGAAAGGAAAGGTTTGAGACTCTTCGAGTGGTCTCTCACTCCCAATATCCCAGTCCTGATCCCAAGTTCTGCCCCCCATCTACTCACCACTCACCCTTATTTATTCTATTTCTAATGGGCTAGTCAAGGCCAACTACTACCATGCCCAGGACCCTCTATTACACTATCACACTTAATTATTATTATTCTCGTAAGCCCATTATCCTAACATATCTCCCCCGTTGGACAACCACCTTGTCCTCAAGGTGGGTGATATTAAACAGCCTTGATCTTTAGGTTCACCTTCATTCTTGCGCCTCTCTCTTCCCAGTACTTCACTGCTTTCTGGACCCATAGCTTCCTGATTTGAACCTTCATCATCACTCCTTCAATAGCCAGAAAGAGCATAGCAAGAAAGAGCAGAGGCAAGGACTTTTGTTGCATCCTGCTCCACAATGTTGCAGAGGTAAAGATCTTCTAGCAACTGCATCTCTGGCCCAACTTCCCACCACTTTATGCTGTATTTCCTGAAATTTTTCTCTGCAGCTTCAGCAACTGTCCCTTCGAGCAAAGCATGAGTTGAAAGTGAGCTGGCACCGGCCTCAACATTTTCTGCCCCTTCCGGATTATCTGGTGGACGTCCTGTGGGTTGAATATCGTCATCGTTCATCTCCCTAAACGTGTAATGAATGCCATAAATAGCAGAGAATGTGGGTAGGTTTGACTTCCTTTTTAATATAGAAGATAAGTGTTTGTTCTCCAGCTCCCATACCATAGGACCTTCCATGTTGTTCCCTCCAACTGCTTTCAGCATACCATCTGTGGTCCCCATAGTTAAGAACTGTTGAATAGGGTCAAAATGATTCCAGTACATCACACCACCACCAAAGTGCTGATTATAATCCATACCAAGACAACCAGAGACCTCTACTTCGTCTTCTGTGATATGATAGTGGTGCAATACTTTTTCAGCATCACTATTGTTAGCTACTTTCATAAGATCAGAATTATAGCAGTGAATATAGCTCAAACTATCAAACCCCTCAGAGGAATTATTTTGATTTTGCATTTCAATTTTGTCCTCCTTTTTCTCAGACTTTGATTCATCCTCTTCCATTTCCTCAGTTTCCTCTACACCGACAGTCTCTGTAGAGCTTTCCCAAGTATTTGAAACAACAATTTTATCAACAGCAGATTCATATTCCCTGGCAACCAAGGATTGAGTCATCACAGAGGATTTTTCCTCGCGTCCCTCATTACAGTAGATGAACGTACCTTCAGAGAGAGTTTTCTGCGGATTGCCTGACTCTTGTGACACGTACAACAACGGCGACGTGGAGGCTTCTCCTTCCAATCGCATCGTACCTTGAAGTGGACTGCTAGGGTAGGATGAAGTCTGCGAACTGATGGTGTCTCCTCTGTCTGGAGTGATACTAGGGTTCGCATAGGGATTTCGAAGCGATTTGGAGTCTCCTTCTGATAGCCTCACACTTTGATTCGAGATGATAGTAGATGAAGAGACCTGCGAACAAGGGAGATCTATTTGCGAAGAAACTTGTTGACTAGAAGATGCTGTTCGCGACGAAGCTGAAGAGGCTTGCGAAGACATCTGCGGACCGGTAGAATCAGCTAGCGACTGTGAAGAGACCTGCGCTAGCGAAGGTGTCTGCGAACTACGCGAAGCAGTTCGCGATTGCGAACTAGGAGGAGCGACGGACAGAAACACCTGATTTTCGATTGGCCGACGGTGTCTAGGTGGACTCCTAGCTCTGTCTCTATGTCGCCTCTGACGGTGACGAAGTTTGCACAACATATAGCGCAACTCCTTCCACTGACTGTCGCTATTGTCCATCTTCTTCTTCAACTGTCGTTGAAACTGACGATCGATTCAGGCTCCAGGAAGGATGCTTTGATACCAATGATAAGTAACTGAAGAATCCAAGAAGAAAGTAGTAGTTTATTAATGAACATTTAGTGAAGGAATACAGAAAGTCATGAAAGGAAAGGTTTGAGACTCTTCGAGTGGTCTCTCACTCCCAATATCCCAGTCCTGATCCCAAGTTCTGCCCCCCATCTACTCACCACTCACCCTTATTTATTCTATTTCTAATGGGCCAGTCAAGGCCAACTACTACCAGGCCCAGGACCCTCTATTACACTATCACACTTAATTATTATTATTCTCGTAAGCCCATTATCCTAACATTAACATTGTTAGTTCAACGTTGTGTTCATTTAGGTACTCTCTGAGCTTCTAATTATTCTTACAGCATACCCTTGTGTAATATTAAGATTGACTCCATTTGAATTTCAAATCTAATAAAATTTATCTAAAGCATTTTCTTAAAACATGCTCATGATTCCTATATCTCTTCTACTCTCGAAGACATTTCTTCCACGAGATGGGAGAATATTAGGCATCAACAGTGGCTTAGAATGACTAAGGAGAAGCGTTTTGACCTTTAAGACTGGATATTTCAGTCAATCTTCATCGTATTTGGCAATAATTAAAGCTCAAAGATAATATATTGACTATTGAAAATACAAGGTTCAACCAGTAATTACATCTAACCTCGAGGTGGTCATAGTAAGTTTTGCTAATATATGCTACAAAAAACTAAAAAATAATTAACAGTTGGTCTTTCATATTGTAGATGTTTGTGGATGAAGTAATGGAATTAGTTGAACTAGCCCCATTGAAATATGCCCTTGTTGGGCTTCCTGGAGTTAATGGTCTCTCAACGGAGCAACGAAAAAGGCTCACAATTGCAGTTGAGTTAGTAGCAAACCCATCTATTATTTTCATGGATGAGCCAACTTCAGGGCTTGATGCTAGGGCAGCTGCCATTGTGATGAGAACTGTGAGGAACACTGTTGACACAGGAAGAACAGTTGTTTGCACCATCCATCAACCTAGCATTGACATTTTTGAAGCTTTTGATGAGGTAATTTCCCCATTTTATAGTCCCTCCGGTCTATTTTTTATTATTTTCTCCAATGAGTTTTTCATTAATTAGTTTTATGGAAAAATTATTGGTTTATTAAATATAAATAGTAGGGGGGAAAATGTAAACCAAAAAAATTATGAAAGAGAGACAAAAAGTAGGAGTCTTTATGTATTTATGAATAATAAAAATATTGGTCAATAATTTAATTTTAATACACACTAACTGTAGTATTTCCATCATTTGCAATGGAGCCAAAGATTGATTATTTTTTGGCTTGAGATTATGATGGAATAAAGCAAAATGGCTCACTAAACTGTCTGCGCTTCTTTTTTGTCAGTCCATGCAATTTTGGACGAGATTTTCACTATGGGTCATCCGGAAACAGTCTCTTTGTGCTTTAGTACAGGGGTAAGACTGCGTACATCCGACCTCCCTTACCCCACCGTAGGTGGGAGCCTTTGCGGCACTGGGGTAAATGAAAATGAAAATGACACACTAACTGTAGTGACCTCATTAATGTCAATCTTAAATTGCAATAGTTATGGCGCTTTTTTCGGCTAGCGATTATGTAGCATTATTCTTGTTTGAGTTCTACTTCAGTAATATATAGGAAAACACTCGAAAAACTTTTGAGAAAAGAATAAAGAGCAATTGATAAAAAAACAACAAAAGAAGTATATATTTAATATGTACTTGCTTTCCGATGTCATCATGCAGTTATTCTTAATGAAACGAGGTGGGCAAGAGATTTATGTTGGACCGTTGGGACACCATTCATCTCATTTGATCAAATACTTTGAGGTAAGATTCAAAAAATGAAAGAAAAAGAATTATATCTAATTTCTTCATGTTTGTAGTACGTTAAGGGCCTAACTCGTGGCGCTCTTCAATGTAGTCAATGAATGGCGTTTCAAAAATAAAGGGTGGCTACAATCCGGCAACTTGGATGTTGGAAGTGACTAGTTCAGCTCAAGAAGTAGCGCTTGGTGTCGATTTTGCTGAGGTGTACAAGAACTCGGACTTATTTAAGAGCAATAAATCATTGATTTTAGAGCTAAGTACACCTCTCCCAGGGAGCAATGACTTGTACTTCCCTACTTAGTTCTCCCAAAGTTTCTGGAGCCAGTGTATGGCTTGCCTCTGGAAGCAACACTTGTCGTACTGGCGCAACACATCTTACACCGCAGTGAGGTTTCTCTTCACAACACTTATAGCCGTTACATTCGGAACCATATTTTGGAACCTGGGTACCAAAACTAAACGGAGACAAGATCTGATGAATGCCATGGGATCCATGTATTCTGCGGTGTTATTCCTCGGTGTGCAAAACTCTTCATCAGTTCAGCCCGTGGTATCAGTCGAACGTACTGTCTTCTATAGGGAGAAGGCTGCTGGAATGTTTTCTGCCCTACCATATGCCTTTGCACAAGTGAGTAGAAATATTTAGCTCTATATTGTTTTTACTAAGATATTTCACGTTAGCCAAATACATAAATATAAAAAACATTCATAATTCATTAAAGATCTTACTCCTTCTGGGTTGACCTCTAAGGCGCATATAAACTACGCAAAATTCGGATTTCTGAAACTTCAGATCTCGTTTCCAACATTCCATGTCATATGTATACTTACAAATTGGAAAACCTATTTCCATAACTACTTGGCTCTTCAGAATGTTGGGTTTCACTGTTTTTCCTTTCTTGATGAGAATTAGTTTTTTTGGGATTTATCTAAAGTATGATAGTTTTATACATTTTATAGCGCAACGCTTTGCTAGAAATATATTTTATACTTTCAACTATGTACTAATATGTGAACAAAGTCTACATCTCAATATGTAGACTACTTTTATCTTTGGTTCTATGCAGCAAGGCTTACATGAAAAAACATTGTGCACATACAAGGAAAATTTACTTATAGATATTTTCTCCCGTGTTCTGTTTCCTATTTTTTTAAAAAGCAGTATCTATTGTTTCCCATTTCCTGTTTCACTTTATCTTAGTTGAGCTTTTAGTATAGAACATTAATTATTTAAAACTTTACCATCCAACCTAAGATATTGCATCACCCGAAAACCACTTAAATTTTTTTGTTTGCAGGTGGCTATTGAAATCCCCTACGTATTTATGCAATCTTCTGTATATGGCTTGGTTGTTTATGCAATGATTGGGTTTGAATGGAATGCGGGAAAATTCTTCTGGTACTTGTTCATGATGTTTTTCACGTTGTTATACTTCACCTACTATGGGATGATGTCTGTGGCCATCACTCCCAACCAAAATGTGGCATCCATTGTCTCTGCTTTCTTTTATGGAGTTTGGAATCTCTTCTCAGGATTCATAGTTCCAAGACCGGTGAGTTCGCCACACATTTGAATAAAAGTTATTACCCTTAATGGGAATAAAACTTTGTTTTCTCTAAATAGGAATATGATACTTTTTCTATGAATATGATAAAAGTTTGTCATTCTAAACTACTATACTGTCATACTAAGGTGATACTTCCACATGACTGTATGAATGATCTTAAGATGTTAGAACTTTTCTTTTATTCAAGGAAAAAACTTACTCGGTAGTAGTCTTGGAAAACACCTATGTTTTACTCCTTTTTAGGGTAATTTGTGTTCGAATAACACTTCATTTTTCATGTCGATTATTTATTTGCACCTCATAACAAAACTGAATGTGATTTCATTTAATTAATTGGGTGATATTCAGAGGATGCCTATCTGGTGGAGATGGTACTTCTGGGCATGCCCAGTTTCGTGGACTTTGTACGGATTGATTGCATCCCAATTTGGAGACCTCGAGGATATAGTGGTTGATGCAGGCAACTTGTCTGTGAAGAATTTCTTGGATTCTAACTTTGGGTTTAAGCATAGTTTCTTGGGAGTGATTGCAGCAGTGATGATTGCATTCCCTACTATGTTTGCTGTCACCTTTGCGTATGCGATTAAGGTGTTTAACTTCCAAAAAAGATAGAACAATGCAACAGAGTTCATTTGAGCATTAGTGGCATAGCTTAGCAGTACTATTGTGTCTCTGTATGCAGGACACTACATGAATGTACTTCTCATTATTTTGTTTTCCATTTGATGTTTTGTAAAAAGAGATTTAATATAATTTTTTCTTCTTATTTTAGCAAATATACTACAAAAGTAGCTAGATCTTATCCACGCTTGATCCACTTTCACTTTGTGTATCACTTATTATTATTATTATCATCATCATCGTCATCATCATCATCATCATCATCAGGTAAATGTTAGTCTAAACCAAAATAAAAATGTTGTTATATGCACTCATAAATCAGTGACTAACCAAGCCCAATGAGTGGAATGTCATTGTGAACTAAATTATGATACATGATAATGTT